AGGCCAGAATGTATGTACAAAGGGAGAAAAGGCAATGTATTCAAAGGCAGAATTAGATCTTTGAAGTTACTTTCCCAAAACCTTCCATGTCAATCAGACAGAAAATCTGATATGCAAGAAGTACATGAGGAAATTTACCCTCTAACATTTTCATAGAATCATAGAATCGTTAGGGTTGGAAAGGACCTTAAGATCATCTAGTTCCAACCCCCCTGCCATGGGCAGGGACACCTTACGCTAAATCATACCACCCAAGGCTTCGTCCAACCTGGTCTTGAACACTGCCAGGGATGGAGCATTCACAGCCTCCCTGGGCAACCCATTCCAGTGCCTCACCACCCTAACAGGAAAGAATTTCCTTCTTATATCCAACCTAAACTTCCCCTGTTTAAGTTTTAACCCGTTACCCCTTCTCCTATCACTACAGTCTCTAATGAAGAGTCCCTCTCCAGCATCCCTACAGGCCCCCTTCAGATACTGGAAGGCTGCTATGAGGTCTCCATGCAGCCTTCTCTTCTCCAGGCTGAACAGCCCCAACTTTCTCAGCCTGTCTTCATACGGGAGGTGCTCCAGTCCCCTGATCATCCTCGTGGCCCTTCTCTGGGCTTGTTCCAACAGTTCCATGTCCTTTTTATGTTGAGGACACCAGAACTGCACACAATACTCCAGGTGAGGTCTCACGAGAGCGGAGTAGAGGGGCAGGATCACCTCCTTCTCCCTGCTGGTCACGCTCCTTTTGATGCAGCCCAGGATACGGTTGGCTTTCTGGGCTGCAAGTGCACACTGAAGCCGGCTCATGTTCATTTTCTCATCAACCAACACCCCCAAGTCCTTCTCCACAGGGCTGCTCTGAATCTCTTCTCTGCCCAACCTGTAGCTGTGCCTGGGATTGCTCTGACCCAGGTGTAGGACCTTGCACTTGGCATGGTTAAACTTCATGAGGTTGGCATCAGCCCACCTCACAAGCGTGTCAAGGTCCCTCTGGATGGCATTCCTCCCCTCCAGGGTATCAACCGAACCACACAGCTTGGTGTCATTGGCAAACTTGCTGAGGGCGCACTCAATCCCACTGTCCATGTCAGCGACGAAGATGTTAAACAAGACCGGTCCCAACAACGATCCCTGAGGGACACCACTCGTTACTGGTCTCCAGCTGGACATTGAGCCATTGACCACAACTCTCTGTGTGCGGCCATCCAGCCAGTTCTTTATCCACCGAGTGGTCCATCCATCAAATTGATGTCTCTCCAATTTAGAGACAAGGATGTCGCGTGGGACAGTGTCGAACGCTTTACACAAGCCCAGGTAGATGACATCAACTGCTCTACCCCTGTCCATCAGTTCTAGCCCCATCATAGAAGGCCACCAAATTGGTCAGGCAGGATTTCCCTTTAGTGAAGCCATGCTGGCTGTCACCAAGCACCTTGTTGATTTTCATGTGCCTTAGCATGCCACCCAGGAGAATCTGCTCCAAGATTTTGCCAGGCACAGAGGTGAGACTGACTGGTCTTCCAGTTAAATAATCAGAACAAGGTGACAGAGCCTCTGAGAGCTTCTAATCAGTTTTCACACACTTCTCTGAAGTTTTAATAGGAGGAAAAAGAAAACATAGGCCAATTTCAAGTTGCAATTTGGCCATGAGAAGGTCTATCCAGATACAGATACTGCCTTAGAACTCAGATGACTGTCACTTCCAGGCAAAAAATACTCTTTACTTTACAATGCTCTCGCACACCACTTCATGTCTGCTGACAAAGGGTGTACCTTCCAGGGTATTCTTTAAGTGGCACACACTTTCCTCAGAATTAAGCATTAAAAAGCTCTGAAGCACTTAGTTTTCCCAGCTTTTGTAGCCTTCCAAATAATACAATTCAAATTGGTAACAACACATTTATGGCTGGAAAATATTCTCTAGCACTGTAATGACAACTTACATATAGTTGTCAATCTTCTGTGCTGAAAGAATACTAAACCAGTTAGCAAATATTCCAACTTTTGTCTTTTAAGACCTCTGAATCATTTCTTTACCTTGCACCCAGACTCTGTAATCAGACAAATCTTTTGTCCATGAGAGAGAAGAGTCAGTTTTCATTAATTACTTTTCCATAAAAAAATTTACAAAGGCATATTCCTGAACAGGAATATTCCTACCTCCATTTATTGATGAGAAAATGAAATATGAAGCCATTTATAGGTCTTCTTCAGGGTTTCTTAGTGAGCTACATAAAGCACCAGCAGCAGAAATCAAGGTTGCTTCAACCCCCATCTTCTGACCTAAGCAGTGTGCTAAACATTATTTCCCATATATTTTGGATGAGGATGAAAAGAAGGTTCTTATTTTTATCTGTCTCCTTTGAACTGATATGGAAAAGTATTTTATTATTATTTACCATGGGAAAAAAAAAAAAAAATCACAAGAAACCGTAGTATTACATAGAAGAATTCAGACACCGGGTTCTGTCTAGCATGTTCTCAGAGATTTTCCTTCCATTTCTTTCCCCCAGGCTTTCTTATACTCATGATATGCCGGCTGTGTCTCCTTGGGTTAGTTATTTTTCTACTGCTGATAGTCATATCAGATGTATTCACATAATAGACATGCCAAGCGGGACTGAATGTTCCACTGGTTTAGAAATGTCCTGAATGACTAAGACTTCAAGTTTTGCCGATCTAATTAAAATAACTGAAATCAAATATTCTTAGTTATTCATATCATTGAGAAGCTTTCAGTTCTACTTAAAAAGTAAGATTAAAATTATATTTATGCTAATGATGAAGTTCAAATACAGTCAAACTTGAACTAATTGGGTCTCACAAGGAATTTGGGGATGACAACCTTTTTAGGGCGTCACCAAGTAATTTAATGGTATATACTAGAATAACATAATAAATAATTGAAGAGATCAGTCTTATGCATAGATTTGTGGAGAGACAGAAAGTAAAACGTTGCAAGTAGTATTTCTCCCTGCCTGCAGGGAGAAAAAAAGTTATCTTACCCTTCAGTATATTTTTTTTTACATAACAGAAGACCCTAAGAGACTGTCCACACAATTTCCAGATATCATTAATGCAATTCCAATAATTCAGAAAGTGTCTCATTGACCTGAGCTGTCTGGAAATACTTTAAAGAAACCATTTTTCTGTCCCAAATGGTGATTTTATTGGAATCTATAATAAAGATCCCAGGGTCAACAACTTGCTTGAAAGCTAACAAAGCCAAAAATTGCATATGACTATTTAATACCCAGATTAAGTTCTGTAACTGACCACCTACTAAATATTCTGACATTACCTCTAATATTGGGTTTTCTGTGAAAAACTTTAAAGAGCCTTGGGGTTTTTTTTTTCCATTTTATGGAGAATACACAATTTTAGAGCCTGCAGATATTTTGTGTAATTAATCATTTTTTTCTACTGAGTGAATGGTAAGAACCAGGACTGTTTCTGGAATCTTCCTCCCCATCCTCAAAACAGGTGGGAAAGGGGTAGGAGTGATTTTTGTTTTAAAACAAGGAGCAGCAGATCACAGAAAAGTAGGTAAGATTCAAAATCATTACTTTATATTGTCTTTGCTACTCACTACCACAGAATGCTTAAAAGCACCAGAGGAGCCTTGCACACACAACATCCTACCTTGCATCTCCAACCAGGAGGCACCCACCTTCAAGCTAGAAGTCAAGTTTATGGTTACAGTACCAGCTTCTCAGTTGTGTGAGGTACCTAAGAAATTCCTTTCAAATTAAAATTTGTGTCCTACAGAAATATACAGAGAAAGAGAAAGCGGCACCAGATGTTTAGTGAAATAAACCCTTTATTCTTGCCTTTACGGAGCAGTCCCCAGAAACAGTGGATATCAACTGCATGCAGTGCCAAGATACATTAATTCATTTATTAATCCTACATTATAGCTTCTGATGATGATATCTAATTACATGAAGCAAGGTATGTAAAAGCACTTCTACCAATGCAAACACCCTTAAAACGTCTACCTTTAAATACTGGTAAACGGCGGCTACTGTTATCCAAAAATGCTCTTTGCAGCCCTCCACTGGTCAAACACAGAGAGTCCAACAAGAAAACAACTATGAATTGCCTGGTGAACTACCTGCTACATTTAAGGACATGAACCTAAACTCTTTTCTGTAAAGAAAAGATCCATATGAAAGAGATAATTACCTTAAAATACATAAAGAAGCAAAATAACTCCCCTCCATCAAAACGTTCTATGTCATTTGTCAGATCACACAGTTAATCCACCCAGAAAACACGAAACCCCACCAGGACCTCAGGGTTAGTAACAAAAGTAGCAATGAATTCCCTGTAGTTACTTCCTATAGTAACCATCGCACAGGTTAACCTAGAGGCAACGTCTGCTGGGAACAAATCACTTTCCTCTTAATGTTTGGACTTGGACAGTTTGGGGTTTCTTTCTAAAAAAAACAAATAAAAAGCAAACAAACGCTGAAGTTTTCCCGTCCCTCTCTTTCGCGGATGCAAATGTAAAATAAAAGATAAAGCCTCACATAAAAGTAAAAATAATACCAATGCTTTCCAATAATATAAACTGAGACAGATCTCAAAACTGAGTTTGAAAACTTGGGGGTAGGTAGTCAGACCTACCCTAAAACAATGCAAAGGGAAAACCACCGTGCAAAAGGCAGATGACCCCGACACCCGGCAGCGCGGAGCTGCTCGGAACGGGAACGCGTTGTTGGGAGCCGGCGGGTGACCGGAGCCCCGCAACATCCCCGCGGAGCAGGCAGGAGCCTGCGGCAGCCCGCGCCGGGGCTCGGCCTCCCGCAAACTTGAGAGCCGCCATCAGCTCCCTTCAGCCCTCTTTGACCGAACACTGCTGAGCAGGAGACCCCCCGACCGACGCGCTATCCACACGGAGCCCCCGAGACCCCGCTCCCCGCCACACCACAGTCTCCACCTCTATCACCACAGCCACCGCCCGAACAGTTGTGCACCGCCCTCCCCGGTGCCACCGCCCGCGGTACCTGCCTTTGGCGGCGAGCGGGCTACCCAGCCCCAGCAGCAGCGCCAGCAGCAGCGGCGCCGCCGCCGGCCCCCAGCAGCACCAGCGCAGCCGCATCCCCGCCGCGGCGCCGGCCCTCCGCGCGCAACACGGCTCCCGCCGGCAGCGGTGTGCGGGGCGAGGCGGGCGGGAGGAGGCTGCTGCTGCTGCTGCTGCTGCTGCTGCTGCTGCTGCTGCTGCTGCTGCTGCTGCTGCTACCGCCGCCGCCGCTGCCTCATTCGCCCTCACTGCCAGCACCGGGGCGGCTCCGGCCCCCGCCCTGGGACCGCGGCGACGTCACGGGGAGGGGAGACATCCATATTCATGAGCGGGGCAGGGGGCGCTACCGAGGGGGCAGTGCGGGCGGGCCCGTGAGGAGACTTGTGCGTGGTGAGCGGGAAACACGGGAAGGGCACGTGGGGACGGGCGGGCGGCGGGAGAGGAGGGTCGGAGGGGGAGAAAGCCAGAGCGTGCCCTGCTCTGCATCCCCAGAGCGTGAGCAGCAGGTCAGGGGAGGGGATTCTCCCCCTCTGCAGTGCTTTGGGGAGACCCCTCCTGCAGTCCTGGGGCAACAACACAAGAGGGGCGTGGAGCTGCTGGAGCGAGTCCAGAGGAGGCCAAGGAGACGCTGCGAGGGCTGGAGCAGCTCTGCTCTGGAGACGGGATGAGAGAGCTGGGCTGGTTCAGTCTGGAAAAGTTAGAACCAGATGAGCCTTATGATGCCTTCCAACCCAAACCATTCTGTGAAAACGAGGCTTTGGTGAAGGGTGCAAAGGATGCCAGGGCATGGGAGAAGCAGGGGTAGGTGGTGGCTACAAGAAAGGAGCAGGGCAGAGAATATCAAGTAACAGTTCAGTAAATTTGGAGGAAAAATAAGAAATCTTGGGGACCTGAGGTGGGAAGAAAGACTGGGAAAAAGAGGGGAAAAATACATGAAGTTATTTTGTTGGAGGATGGGGAAAAATTGCAAAGGTTTTGGTAAAATGGAGAACAATGAATAGACAAAACTTCAAAACTTGGAGATGGAGACTGTGCTGGTGCAGAACAGAGGGATTTGGGATCCAGCTCTGAAGGCAAGGAAAGCTGTGTGGTAGGGTCTCAGAAACGATGTCCAAGTGAGACTCCTATACAGGACATCTAAGAGATCCTGGAAGGAACGCACAAAATGCAAGGACGCTCACTGTGAGAACTCTAAACTATACTAAATGTAAGGTACCAGCTACTTGCAAGCTGTGAGAGTTGCAAGGAAATCTATGTCCTGCAGAGTCCCTTCTCTGTTCCAGCTGTTGTCTTATTTATACTCTATCCCATAAACTGCTCACCAAAGCCACCTAACTCTGGAAAGCAAGTCCTCACAACAGAATCCCAACTCTGAGAAATGCTTGTTCATCGCTTGACTTTGTGAGGGCTGGCATTCTGGCAGGGAGCAAGCTCAGGCTACTCTAGAAGAATGACAGGAGTGTTAGTTGAATATTGAGTACCAGAGAGCAAGACAGGGGTCCATCCTACAAAAATAACCCCATGTAACATGCAGAAGACATCGCAGTGACTGGACAAAATCATTCGGGTTTGAGGCTTTGCCATTATTCCTTTCTATTATTTTTGTATGTATGGCTAGGAGCATGATTCATTGAGCAAATCACTTTGAGCAGATGGAATGCAAAATTCCCTCCTCCTCCTTCCAACCACACACAGAAAAAGTGGGATTGGACAGAGAGACAGGAACCCAAGCCTTTCCCAAACCTAAGATGTAACACTTGATCTGCTAAAGGAGGAGGCTTGAAATACACATTTACTGCTCCACTTCATCCAGTCAAAGAGAAATAATTCAAGCTGTGTAAGTTGGGACAAACTCCTAATGCTCTTGGCTGTTCGTCTAGTTATGGAATCTGCTTTCCTGTCATCTCTATTGTGAGCTGGATGGAACAGGCACATAGAAAAAATAGGGAAAAGCAGCAGCAAAATAATTCAGCACACTAGAAAACTACGTATAAAAAAAAGATTTTGCCAGCATTCAGCTGTTTCTCACCTTTCTACAGAAGCAGATTTTTTTTTTTTTATGAGGAATTCAACTATTATAAGTCACTTCTGTTTGACAGGAGGAAAATCCTCCATCCCCGAGTGTTAAATGTTCCAAAGCATGTTTGCTATGTACGCACAGTAAGGGTTTCCTGCAAAGAGCTCAAAAGCTCTTTCAGTATATGATACAAGGCTTGAGCACGCTTCCCGACACCCAGCTGGGAGCACACCACTACCTGTCTTGTGAAACCAGCCATGTACACTGCAGCTGATGTTCTTAGAGGTGCACTGCTGTGCTGAGTGCCCAAGCATCCATCACCTGGAGGCAAATATTAAATACAGCACAGAGAGGTTTAGCTATCAACATGAATGGGAATTACATTAAATCCATGTGGTCCTGGCCAAAATTATCCACACTGACAGCAGTCAGAGTGACAAAGACTGCAAAGGCACAGAGAGAACTTTTAAATCTATAGATTTTAATTTGCTAATTTAAAAAGAATAATAAATTATATGTGGCAAGCAGCATCTGAAGTCCATAACACGACATCCCACTTTTGGAAAAGTTAGAAATATGACCTATGGACTAACACATTGAAATAGAATCTATATAAACAGTAACATAATTCAGGGGGTGATATTTTCATACAGTGAACTAGCAAGAATTCAAGGAAGCTAAAATTGGAAAGTACTACTTTGTAAATGTTAGCCTATTATTAACTATCCATGATACAACTGATTTGGTGGAGGAACCTAGAAAGCAGGTTTGCAAGGTAAATGCTGTACAGAAAGACACACCTTTCTTTTCAGACAACTTATAGTCTGAATAAATAAGACAGAACTTAAATGAAAATGGACAAGTGTTATCCCACTCCACAGGCAGGGAGCTGAAGTACAAAAGATGGAGAAACTCTGCTGATAGATAACATTATATTGATGTCAGAACCAAAAACTGATTTCAACTTTGGTACCTTAATCAAAAGCTCTTCTCCTTTTTACCTGGACTGTATTTGTTTATTGACATGACAGCCTGTGTGCTCTGCAGCATTCTGGTGGTGTCTTATACAAGTGATGGATGTAGATGCATAGAAATGTTTACAAACAATAATGATGATGTGGCAATATGCAGAAGTTTAATGTAAATAACTGCCATTAAATCCTATATTTTATGCTGTCCATTAATTCCTACAGCCTTTACCAGGGTTTAAGAAAGCAAGTTGGAAACCCTTTACTTATTTTGTTCTCTCTGTCTAATCACTGTGTAATTGAAGGAGTACATTTTCAATTTTTTGTTTATTTGTATTTTAACACAACAGTAGGGAAATGTATTATTTAATCCCAAACAGGACATTGCTGAAGGATTACCTCTGACTGAGACCCATTCATTCACATGTCTAGAACCACCACCTCGTCCTGATATGTTTTATTGGTCTTGTTAAATAGAAATTCTAAAACAAGGGGGAAAAGGTCATAGCAATGCATTCAGTGCAAATTATTGACACAGACCTGGTGTCAGAGGCAATCAATCAGAAAGATCCATTTGCATCCTGAGATATAAAGACTGTTTTTGTCATAATTTCTCTAGTGTGGATCCAAGATACTGCTGGAAGAGAGGATTTAACCCTGACAGAAAAGAGTTTGCTGAAGAAATCTGAGTAACCACAAGGTCATGATCAATACTACCTCATGGTATATCAGGATATTTAGCTGGGACAGAGCTTTGGGCAACATGATTTAGTGTGAGGTGTCCTTGCCCATGGCAGGGAGGTTGGAACTAGATGATCTTAAGGTCCTTTCTAACTCTATTTTATGATTCTATGATTCTATTTTCTGAATAAAAGTTATTTATGTCATGGTGAATATTAGTTTTTCTAACTAACAAAGGAGAGATAGTTTAGAAGAAGTATTCAGGTACAATATGGTATTACTCTATTGTTAAGGATATTAGACTTCATTAGCTATTTTTGACACTTAAGTTGTTTTTTAAAAGAAATAGTGAAAGAAGAGTAATTTTCAACATTATGCAGGGCACTTTGTCATCCATACAAAAGATGTAACTATTCGTATTTCAGATCCCATAGTAAACCCCATTGTAGCATTTGTTATACGGTCAGGATCTAAGGTTCACTGCTCTTTACTGCTTTAAGGACATGTTCACATAACACCAAAAGCAGGATCCATGTATTCTCACTGGGTGCCTAAAGCCATGACTCAAACAACATAAAACTTAATGTAGAGTTAAAAATAACTAACTAAATAAGCCACAGGAATTTAGATTTGATTATGTTTAGAAGTTTATGTATTACCAAAGAAAACAGCATTATATTTTCCTGTTGGGAAAACAAAAGGGAAATGAGCATGTATTCCATTTTAAAGAAGAAAATACATTTAAAAGACAGAGTTATAGAGCCTGCATTTTAATATGATACATATAAGTCTGGTGTTGCAGTCACCATGTAGAGAAATAAGTACATGTTTTTTCAATATAAGGGAAGTAAAATTTGGGTTTGCTAGTCATATAAAGTACTGGGGTTCCTGTGTGTTAAATGCAGCAGCAATGACACTGATGCCATTTGTGTTCTTTTACAACAAGCCTGAACTAGGCCTGGAGCCTTCCTGATTATTTGCTTTCTTGCTCCATGGGTTTAAACTTGCCTTGAACATTAGAGGACCTGAACAGGAATCATACAGCTTTTTGCTACAGCAGGTTTCATTGTCTCGCTAGAAGTTTGCAAGCATTTCTCCAGAGACTTATTTAGGTCAGGAGCTTTTAATAAATGAGAAGGGTGGTTACGAAGTAGAATAAAACAAACAGCCTGAGAAATTAGTAGAAATACAAACATTACTTTCCATATATGCCACAATTGCTAATGTGTTAATTAAATAGAAACAGAATAATTTATAAGAATAAATTATTTATTCTTAATAAATGAAACATCTGAATAATAAATACATCTGTTCTGTAGTCATCTGGGAGGTTTCTTAAACAAAAGGCTCTTTTGCAGCAGGAAGAATCACATGGAAGGTGGGGGAAAAACTGTACTAACATTAAGAATCCAACCAAAGCCAAATAGCTATAATGTTGGGAATTAATACTGCTGACAGTCAATTGCACTGTCGCTTACAATTTGTGCATAGGATTCAAAATCCTATTT